GTAAGTGTTCACTACTTCTGCAATGTCAAAAATTTTTCTTTTTTTTAATCAAGTTCATCCCAAGCAAGGCAGTGAAAACACAGGGGGTTACTTGATGTGGAAGAACTAGAAAACAGAAACATTATTAAGGAGTGAGAACAATTGATGAGTAATCAGGAAGACAATAGATCACAACTGAAATTGCATTTAAATTTTTGAAGATTAAAGTTGACTGGAAAGCATGTATTTGGAAGAGAGTTCTGCAAGTGCAAGAAAATAAACTGTTAGCATAGAATTTATGGTTACATCTAGCCAATACAACTGTAAATTGATAAAACCTCATCACCTGTCTAGTATCGTGCTTAAATTCATAAAGTCTAGGTACCACAGTGAAGAGCTCATCTGAACAATTACCATGAACATTTATAGAAAAAGCACAGGAAGAAACTTTACATCAGTGGAAACTGACTGAAGCTGAGATGCCAAATCAGGACCAATAATATTGCTGATTCTTCTTTGTATTTTATCAAGAATCTTTAAATATATAGGAGGAGCATCAGATCATAGCAGTAGCTGTAATATTCTAAGCATGGGAGAATGGTAGAATGATATGTAAGATAGATTCTGGAGAGAAGAATTGTTTTGCACAACAGTGACCAAAAATTTTTAGCCACTGACCAATCAATGGATTCAATATAGTCTTTCAACTCCATTTCAAGCCAAGTATGTTTGCCTGAGAAGGTGCAACAAGTCACTCTCCTTAAGGTTAGCATCAGCCATCAGCAGAAAGTGGTCTCTCAGATGATTAATAAAGAGCAGTTTTGTTTTGGAGGCATTTTTAAACACCCTCTTAACTTGATTTATCAACTGACTTCTAAAGAATCTAAAATGTAACTTTAAATTTACCATCACTAAAGAAGCAGATAAAATGGCCGGCTACCTGTATTGCTCCAATAAGTACTTGACTCTATGTGCTATCTTCTACTTTTACAAGAGTCGAATCAAGCCAAAAATAGAGTACCATTGTCATATATGGGTGGGAACTGTCGAAAGTGTCTCTGACTCCTTGTGGGTAACAAATTATTTTTCAAATTCCAACCTCTCTTACAGGCAGGATGTGTTACGCCCCTCACTGCTCTATTGTTACTTTCACAGAAAGTGATCGAACTGGACAAACTACATTCCTTAGTTCCACCAGTTCTTACCTTAATGACTAGTACCTCCATACCACTTACATTGTAGCAAATCAATCACATTCCCTCCATATTCCATCAGTCAGAAGTAAGTTTCCCTCAAACAGATTCTTCCTGCTGACCAGTTCTGTGGAACTGACTCCCAAGAGGATATTTCCCCAATCACTAAAATCTTAACCTGTTCAAGTCTAGGCTTAACCGTTAACTTCCCTTCCTATCCATACGAACTGCCTTCTAATGTAAATGCCCTGTCATTGTACTGGGTGAACCTTACAGTAAAAAAAAAAAAAGAAAAAAACAGTAATTAATCACAAAGTTTAATTTCTTTATTTATTAAAAGTCATTGAATATGATTTTTCATTAAAACATTTAATAAAAGCTTTTTTCTTTTTTCTTTTGCTATTAATTAATGAAATACAAAGCCTGAAGTCTACTCGATGTATAAGAATACTGAGGTAAATTGTTGTAAGGGAGGAGGAAGGATGAAGATTTTAATTATCAAGGAAGAATTTTATCTGGAATCCATTCCCCAAAGTAATAATCTGCGGAAGAAACTGTTTGGGTGGAAATTGTTCATTATCAAGGGGACCCAAAGAGAATGGGTATGATTTTCTACTATAAACATGTCATGGTGGCTCCAAGCTGTGAATGTCTAAGCTCGTAGGACTAAGGAATGGAATTTGGTTGAACATACACTGTCCTTATTACTATAGTGAATCAAGAGGCTAGTGGTGTTTGATCTGTGGGATAAGGGCTGTAGGATGGGGAATAATTCACCACCCTTAAGGGCATGTGTATTGACTGGCATGTTTCTAATGTAAAGTAAAAAAAAATATTTTTGTGGGAAAATTCTGTAAAATTGCTTTTTTTCTAATTGTGGAAAACCAAGATCCCCAATGTCCTGAAGGTACACAGCACATACAAAAGATGAAGTGGTGCCTAAACTCCTAACACATATTCTGGTCTTTGTTAAACTAACAAATCAAGCAGTGGTCTTTACAAAAAAAATATCTTCCACTGGACCAACTAAGCATATATACTAAATTTGAGAGCTCCTCATTAAGTAGTTTGGCTATATATACCAAACAGACCAACTATTTCTTACTTTATATATAGAATCCTGCATTCTTCCATCTTGAGTTAATAATTATAATTCTATTAGCAGCCATCTATATTTTTGGAATCTTTTTATACAGTCTTTTCTAAATCTGATGATATGGTTGAGTAAATAAGTTCTAGATTGAATTTGCAAAGGAAATTGACATGGAACCAATAAATCGGTAAATGGCATCAAAGATAAATGTTGAGTTACCTAACTGTTTGATAAAGATATTATTGTTGAATTACTTCAAAATGGGGGGGAAAAAAACTCTTTTTATTATTCTCTTTGCATTGCTATGGTTTTGTCCTGGTGGAATCGAAAGCCAAAGCTTTTCCATGGCAGCAGAATCCGAGGATTAACCCAGAGGCTTTTCTTGGTGGTATATTTGTGAGTTAATCATCTTGAACTCTTTGGCTTCTGAATAACCTGGAAAGGTTCAGCTCAGCATCTAATTCTTTCTGAAACCTGACCATCTGAAGACAGTTCAAGTCCTTCAAATATTGGCATATTTGAAAGCTATTTCTCTTTGACTATCAAACCAATACTTTTTTTTATTAGTTTGGCCTGTGGTTCAACATTTGCTTTAGATATTTGTCTTCTTTTTTTTTTTAGTATTTGATGCTATAACTGAGCAAAGCTTGTGTAAAATGACTTTGCCAATAAAACAATGGAAATGAGTGTTGGAGAAAATGAAAAGGAAAGACTGTTAGTTATAAGAAGATAGAATGTGTGGATGTTAGTCAGAGGAATAGCCAAGGATGCAAGAAGAATAAAGCAAATACAGAAATTTAACTATATAACAAGAAAAAAATGTTACACAGAAATCCAAAGTTCAAAGGTGCATTGGAATAGCAAAAGATGATTTCGAAAAGCTAAACAAAGTAATAAGAAACAAGAAAATTTTGTTAGAAACAAAAAAAAGAAAGAAAGAGTGCTGAGCTGCTATGTAATATCAATATGTCTATATTCCAGTGAATACTGAGTAATTTCCTCCACAATAAAGAGAAAACATGAAACAATAGAGATATCCTTATGCAGAAGGATGCTGAGAATATCAGAGACAGAACATAGAAGTAATAAAGAAGTTATAAAGAAAATGAAAACAAAAAATATATAGATAAAATCAGAAAGAGCTAGTTGAAATTTCTGGGATGTATAATGAGGCAAGGGGGCTTGGAGATTTGACACTCACAGGACACATCAAAGGCAAGAGAAAAAGAGAGAAGTTGTGAGTAACTTGCCAAACAAGCTTGTATAAATGGATAGCAGAACTGGAGCTGGTAATGTGACAAATAGGGTCAGTGCTATGAAGGATAGGGAGATGTGTCTGTGGAATAATAGTAATAATAATAATGTAATAAAACAGAACAAAACATACTAACAGAATTATTAGATTATCATTTAAAGAAATTTCTGGAGCTCTTATGTAAATTATATAAACTATAAACCGAGTCAACATTTTGAAACTTAAAAATATCTCTCCTAAACCAGGAGTTGACCGCTTTCTACACCAGATATAAAATTTGAACTATTAGCATAAAAATGTAAGTCATAAATAAAAAATGTAATAAACTTTTTTTTTTTTTTTTACTGTTGCATAAAGTAGAAAATTAAATAATGTCAAGTTTGATAAATGGTTTCCATTGTCAGAATTAGCACACAAACAATTTGTTTACTTCATTTTCACTGGAGTCGGTAAATAATATTTGGATAGCAACAGATCTGGCCGTAATAAAAATGAGAAGTTCAGATTGTTGGGCATGTATAATACTTGACCAAAATATGAATTTTGCATTGAAAATCTTTAAAATATCATTTTCACCACAAATTCTGTGGCTGAAGAAAAAGAATAAAGAAAAGAGAAATACAAAGGTTATAAGTGTATAAAAAAAAATTATGGGAAAACTCCAGATGGCCACCATAAATATTTCTATCTAAAACCTTTTTTAGTGAAACGTTTTAAATTATTTGACAAGAGATTATAATAAAAATAATAAAATTGCAATGTAAATGAATCCATCACAAGCCAGTTTTTCTTAAAATTGATACCAAATAAACAATGCAAATATGGATTCCTGATCTTGCATGAGATCATATTCTATCAAGATATTAAGCTAAGATTTTGCATAAACTGTTATTCTCATTCCGGGAAATATTATAGTGCCTTAATAAATATAGTATCAGCAGCAGCCCTGGGGGTGTAAAAACAACGCGAATCCTTAAAGTAACTCTCTTCCTGTTTTTCCTCCTTTCGAAGTGTGTGTCATCAACTTTTCACACTGAAGCAAAAGGGCTGTGCACAATTCAAACACAAACATAACTACACAGGCAAGTTACACTCAAATACATTCATTCACATTTCCATTGTATATTCAGTTTATTTCTTGGAAAAGAAACTCTTAAACTTTTCTTTTGTTATTTTGTTTAATAAATGTTATCTTGCATTGCAAATCAGTAGTTCTCTGTTATTTTGTGCATGTACCTTTTAAACACAATTATTTCATGCATTGTAAAATATTATTGTAAGAAACCTTTTACATTAATTATGGAAGTAGTTAACGCACTAAAATAGTATTAGCATATGAATGCAACTTCAGTCACATCTTCCTTTTTCCAGAATCTTGTTCCTTTATTGTTGTTTTCTCACTTCTCCTAACATCTTCTCATTCTCTTTCATGCCCTGTAATTCTGCATCCTAGTGGCATTATCTCTTTGCTTGAGCTTGT